AACTAAAAGCTGAACCCCTGCAACGTGTGCAATTACGGGACCTAGCGGAGAGCCACCAAACTCATACAAGTGGTCCTTCAGCCACACCAGGCAGAGCAAAACAGAAGAAAAGAAAAACCCTACAAAAGCACAATGTCCCCAGGGGAATAGAACCAGTCGCTATGCATATATCAGACAGCTGCACAATAAATACCTTGTGCCCCAGCCAGCAGCAGTACTACCTCCTACCCAAGGTCAAACAGGAGTAAGAACTACCCCAGCTGAACCCAAGGGCAGGCAATCACCAAGCAGCAAAAAAACACAAGGAGGTAGTCTCCCGAACGGCTCATGGAAGATAACTCTAAACAGCAAGGGCAGTACCACCTAGGGAAGGTGGCCTTAGGCACATGCAACCCCAATACTCTTGTGTTACTCCTGGCTCACATACCATACAGATATGGACTGCACTGCTTTAAAGGATGGAGCCAGAATCAATGAACTGCCACCAAACACGAAACCCTGTGAATTGGAGTTAGGTAGCCAGTGCGGGAGGTCTGGAACCACCCCCCCCTTCCCCTTCCCGAGGAGGGGGGGAGTTGTGCAGACAGAGGTGCGATGGCTGTGGTAACATTGTGCTTGTTTGGTTGTTTTTGATTGGGGAGTTTTGCTTGATAGTTCGGGTTTCAGTTTGCAATTTTTAACCAGCTGTAGTTTGTTTTGGAATTCCTACCTTTCTGGGGTGCCTGACCTGGTAGATGGCAGACATGGCCTGCTTCCAGTTACACAGGGGATGTCTATAGGCCATTGCTCCTCGTACCTCTGAGGGGCAAAGTTCTGGCGCTGGTCCCCGGTAGACCTAGAACTCCATCAGTTGACTGTTGGTACGGTCTAATATATATACACATCAGCCTGGTATAGCTCCGGGGAGCTGAAGGGGCTCTCCATAGAAATATTGGCTTTGTGTGAATTTTTGATGGTCTGGGAAAGCATCTCCCATTTATAGCATTGCACCTATGGAAAATATTGCTTCGCATTACAAACAAACAAACACATTTTTAGAACTTAACTTCTCTATTTGAGAAAAATACCATGCTCAAATGTTCGTAGTCAGTTCACCTCTAAAAGGTCATGGGTTTGAGTTCTTTGGCAAGACAGAGCTTGAGTACGTTTCTTCTCATTTTTTTTTTTTTTTTTTTGAGATATATACAAGAGTTGTTACATTCTTGTACAGCCACTAGTACGCGTAGCGTTTCGGGCAAGTCCTTAATCCTATGGTCCCTGGAATACGATCCCGTGCCGCGAAGAATCGTTTTTTCATCCAAGTACACATTTTACTGTTGCGTTAAACAGAGGCTACAGTTAAGGAATTGCGCCCAGTAAATCCTCCCCGGCCAGGATACGAACCCATGACATAGCGCTCGCGGAACGCCAGGCGAGTGTCTTACCACTACACCACGGAGACTCCCGGGAGTTAGGCAACTGCTGTGGGCCACATCCTGAAATAGGTGATTAGTTGTCCATAACAATCTTCTAGTCCCCCAATGTGGGGAAACTGAATATTTACTCATATTTGATAAGTTGAAATTTGCATTTGCTTATTTAACACTTTCGCGCACCCCACGCGCCACCCCTCAACTATACGATTTGGGTCCCAGCGTTTCACGGGAGCGCGCGTTAATTCCGAAAAGTGTATACTCTCTTCAACTTTGTCACCTCAATTCTCGTTCTACAAGAATAAATTTGGTATCATTGTGTTTGCAATAGAATTCTCTACAGCACTAAATGCATATAAACTCCAACAGCCCGGCTAATTACCCGCAGCAAACAGAGAAAGTGCGAACGAGTTACCCAGGAGTGCGCAAACGCGATAAAATGTTTTCACTATTTTCACTCTGGTCACCTCAATTTTCGTTCTAGGTCTTTCATTTTGGTCTCAATGGGTTCGCAATAGAATTCTCTAGAGGAACATTAGCATATAAAATAAAAAACCTGGTCTCGCTCCAACCGCCGACGAGTTGAAGACGGGCCACGCGTTAGCCGCGAGTGAGCGCTCAGACGCCTTCCAGCTACACTCCCAATTTCCGCCCACAAATGTTTAGTATTATTTCCTGGTGGTAATCTCAATTTTCGTGTTACAGCGCTCATTTAGGTATGAAAATGTTCCTAATAGAATTCTTTAGATGGATATGTGCATATAAGGGCCAATTGAAGAACAACATTGCCTGTACAATACGGGAAAGTATGAACAAAAAAAAAATAAAAAATAATAAAAAATTTTGTACTTACCACCTCAATGTTGTGTGTTGAACATGACATGGGTTGAACATTTGTTTTATCCACTCCACCTGCTCCTGGAAAACGTTTCTTGCAGGGTCAACCCATGTTTTGTATAGGTGGAGTGGATGGTGGGCAAGCATTACTGCTTATCGGCCCAGAATTTTTTCTTTCGATGGTATCTGCTGTAGCATGGTGCAGGACACAATGCCACATCACACGTCTTGCACTTATAGTGTGTGTTTTTCCTTTTACCCGACAATTTGCACACACGACACCTCAGACGCTTCTGTATCTTTACTTGGGTATGGGACAAGTTTCTTTTGAGGCGGTCTGGATTATCCACAATACGGGGTCTTGTTGCAGCAGAAGCACCACTAGTGATAATCACAGCCTCGTCTTTTGACTCAGACGATGAAGGTAAGTCTGTAGGTACGGATGAAGTGAATAGGGGGCGCCTCACACCTGAAGGTCCTGCTGTTGGAGATCTGGGTGTTGATGGTCCTGGTGTTGCAACATTGGCTCCAGTGGCATTGATATCAGCAGCATGTGGGATGTCATCATCTTCCTCAGGCCAGTTACTAGACTTATAGAACAATAGTGCAGCGATGACTTGTTCATGGAAATGGAGTAATGTCAGTTTCCTTCTATCTGTTGTGTAGTAGTTGTACATCACAAAAGCATTGTAGATAGCCATTTGGACAAAATAAAAGGTCATTTTCTTCGTCCATTTGTGTGTTTTCTTTGTGAAGTGATAATATTTGATCATTTGGTCAAAGTGATCAACACCTTTCATGTTTGTATTGTAGTCACAGATTGCATTTGGCTTGTTGACAGTTACCTGCTGCACTGAGGTTGTTCCATCACGATTCCGTACTCGTTTTCTGCGTTGAACGTCTTGTGTTTCTGCATTGTGGCAATTTGTTATGAGTGAAACAATTCGTTTATCTTTCCACAAAATTATGAAAGTATTGTCCTTGCGTTTGAATAAAGTTTTATCTACTGGCACTTTACCCTTTGCTTGCATCTGAAGGGATTTAGGTGCACCACGCTGCAGTCTGAGGGTACCACAGGTGTATACCCCTACTTGAAGCAGTGCCTCACTCAATCTGACCGAATTGTAATAGTTGTCCATATATAAATGGTAACCTTTATACTTCAGTGGTTCAATCAAGGCCATAACTGTGTCAATCGTCGTTTTCCCAACTCCTGAATAGATTTAAAAATCATAAATGTAGCCACTGGTGGCTTCAGCTAGCATGTAGAGCTTTATTCCGTATTTATCTGGTTTATTGGGATTATAGGTCTTGAAAGATAGACGGCCATGCCATGGCATTGTCCCTTCATCCAAACTCAAATTTTTATTGGGAATGTATATTCTCTTGAATCTATTCAGGAGATATTGCATGAGTGAGCGAACTTTGATAAGTTTGTCAACTCCTTGGCCTGGTGGTATGGACTTATTGTTATAAACATGGAAATATTTAGCAATCATTTCAAATCGCTTACCAGTCATGAAGGTGTTGACACAAGGTATGTGCCAGAATCTGCCTGTTTGCCAATACATTCTAAGTCTTGGCAACGGGCAAATACCCATCAAGATCGTCAGTCCCAAATATCTGGCAATTTCTTTCACTGTCACTGGTTACCATCTGTGCTTTGTCCTTTGCCCAATACCTGCCTTACTTTGGGAAGCATATAAATTAGTTTCATAGGCAATATATTTCAGTAATTTTTGAGTCAGAAAGAGTTGAATGAAACCAAGAACAGTGGTAGGTACAGGAACAGTCAAGCCTGGTGTACCTGTAAAATTATCCACAAAGGGTGCAGTATTGTCACTACACCATCCATCATCAGAATCTGTTGGTGCTAGGGTACGTGTGGTACGTCTGGCTCTGGCACGAGCTCCAGTACTGCGCCGTGCACAAGTGGCAGTCTCGACCTCAGACTCCTCACTTTCCTCGCTTTCATCACTAGCAAAATCCTCATCGGCCGTCTCTGTTTCTAAATGTTCACTACTTGCATCAGTATCAATACCGACATCAGTTTCCTCACTAGATGACCCAGACAAATCGTCAAATACTCCTGTACAGCCTGAAACTTAGAGGGAGTTAGTCTCACATGCTTGTACTTCTCCTGTACACTACTCAGCTTCTGCTTTTCACGCCTTTCTTTCGCAATTTTCTTCCTGGAAGGGCCTTGTTCATGATCACTATCCATAGTGGAGTAAGCGTAGATAGTTTCTAAAGCCGCAGTAAGAAATATAGCCACGGAAAATAGTCCAAATGTTCACACGTTTGAGACGCGAGGGGAGGCGACACCGGTCACAACAGTGGAGCGAAAACAATGGGCCGACGGCGTGTGCCGCGCCGTCTGCGGGCCACGAGGCGCAACAAAGAAAATGGGAAGACATCGGCGCGCATTTTAAAACCAGTCCCAAAAAAATCGGTTAAAAACCTGATTTTTGGCGAATATTTAAAGTGGATGACGCAATGCTGCGTCATCCCCGGCATTACCGACAGTAAACGGATGACGCAATGCTGCGTCATGCCTGGGCAAAAGTGTTAAGAAGAAATACTGTATATGAATGTACACTCCCACATTTCTTTGAAAAACTCTTCAGTTATATTTACAGGTTTTCGTTTGTATGCACACAAATCAACAATTGTTTCCATTGAGTAAAACCAATTTGCATTATTTTTTAATAAAGGTAAAAATGGTGTTTATTTTAACTTTTAATATTCCAGGAGCCAGGAAATCCTCTACAAGTTCAACTTTTTGAAAGAGAAGCATCAGGAACTTGCACATTGGCATATTCAGATTTAATTGATAGAGGTCTCATTGTTCTTGATCAAATTGAGCAAGAATAAAACAGTCTGCCATTTATTTCTTAAAATTATAAGTTCATATGGTTTTTTAATAGCTTTAAGAATATTGCATTTATTTCTGATAGTATATTAAATGCTGTGTTAATAAGCCTTTAATAATTTTTTTTGGTAATGTTATCAAATGTGGCTATGAAGTTTTGTTTAATTTTACCCTAATGCAGTAATTCCCAAGAAGACCTGTCATTGGTATTGAATGGCTTAACAGCAATAACAGAAGACGCAAGATGCTCTTGTTGGGTAGCTTATAGTTTTAGTCGTCCTTAGCAAGGCATTTTGGTTAAGAGTTGTGTGTCCAGTACCTTAGTTAAGGTACCATTAGTTAAATACAACAACATTTTTGTAAGCATTAGCTCTACACTTTGATATAATTGTATTTACATTACCTAATATGGTAGATAAATATATGTTCTGCAGTACCCTACTTTTTTAAAAGTTTTCCTACATCACAGAAATTACTTTTCTGCTAGACATTGCTAATGGAGATATTTTATAATATTTTGAATGTTATTTTGTAGTTTATAGATAATAGCAGTAAGGAAATAGACTGTTTTGTAAATTTACTAAACTTGGTTTGATAATCACACAGGAAAACCTTATTTCAAATCTATATACAGAACTGTAATTATTGTTTTGCTTTACATTGTATTAAGCTCATCTTGGAACTTGCTATGATAATGTAACTAGAAATAAACATCCTATGTTCAGTACTTTATTAACAATTATCCTGCTTACTCAGGTTATTATGTTTTATCATACACTTTGACATTAAAGGAAAGCAAATTATGGAGAAAAAAAAAAGAGTATGAAATGATTGTTTTATGGCATATGCTATTAATTTGTTTCAGTAAAAATGTCATTTACAACTTCTGAAAATTATATCATAAGTTACAGGCAGACTACCAATATATTGTAAAAAACAGACGTTATGAATTTTCAGTCTTGATACTGGAAAAATATTTTGTTAAAAAGAGTAAAAAAAAAAATTCTGTCCAATAACAGTTCACTTGCCTAGTATCTCTGCTTAACCAAACTGGAATCAGAAGACTAAAGTAAAGTAAATTTTATTCAGGAAAGCACATACATAGTTGATTTACAAACATAAAGTTGGATTTATAGATAGAGCTAGTACATATAGTACCTAAAGCAACTAGTTACAGTTGAGTTGACTAGTGAGTTGTTGAACTTACTGGTATAAATAAATTCCAAAGGACTTGTATTCAGTCAATCTATGTTTTAAGTTTTCATAGACAAAGATTGAAATAGAAGAATTACTGAAGTAATTCAGAAGCCAACGTGCTGGCGGACGGCTTGTCTCGTTTCCTTCCACTTTCCATGGAATGAACGGTCGACGCCGACTCTCTTTTTTGTGTCAGCGTGGTCGAGGCGTCTCCTGTATACTTGGCACCTTTCCCCAACTTCAAGGCCGTCGAGGTCGTCGCCTTCAGGCAGGACTGGGCAAGGTGGGCTTACCTGTACCTCTTTCCCCCGGTTCAGCTGTTGCTCCAGGTCCTGGCTTGCTTGGAGACTTACCAGGGAAGAGTTGTTCTTCTGGCTCCTTGGTGGCTGGCCCAGCCTTGGTTCAAGGCGCTGCTTGCTCGGTGTCCGAACCCGAGGGTATTCCCGCAGCTCCGCCTTTTTCAGCGGATTGGTCCAGCCGGGTATGAGGCTGGTTCGGTCTTCTCCTCGAGTCTTCGTGTCTCTAATTTTTTACTCGGGTTTATTATCAGTATGGTGCGCAGGTGGCTTCGTTCTTGGTCTCCCACCTGCGTGCTTCGTCTCGGAAGCAGTATGAAGTTTCTTGGCAATCCTTCCGGTTCTTCCTGTCTCTGCATAGGTGTTTTTCGAAAAACACCTTGTCTGATAGGGTTGTTCTGTCCTTTCTCTCTTGGTTGTTCCAGGAACGTCATCTTATGCCAAATACTATCGCTTCGTTTCGTACGGCGCTGGCGGAGCCGCTTCAGCTTGCTTTTGGTGTTGATGTTACTTCTGCCCCGTTCAGCAAGCTGTCTCGGGCGTTGTTTCACCTCCGGTCTGCTCATGCGCCTCCTTAGCTGTCCTGGTCTTTGGACCGGGCTCTTGTTTCTCTTCTCCTCGGTTTGTTGTGGCCCCTTCTGTTTGGGATTATTTTTCCAAAGCTCTTTTTCCTGTTGGCATTGGCCTCTGGGGGTTGGGTCGGGAAGCTTCATGCTCTCCTCCGACACGGGGGGTTTCTGCTCCTTTGGTCCTGGTGGTCATTTTGTTCTATTACAGCCGTCTCCTACTTTTCTGGCGAAGAATGAAACGGCTGCATTTCGGAGGGAGCCTTGGATTGTTGATGCCGACACATGATGCACCTGGGGTTCATCATGTGTTGTGCCCGGTTACGGCTCTTTGACGTTATTTGCGCGCCACAGCTTTGGTGGCCGGGAGTGCGCTTTGGGTTGATCCGGTTTCCCTTCTTCCCTGTTCCTGGGCTCGGGCCTCTCAGGTTGTCCGCAGGGTTATTAAGTTTAGCCAGCCTGCAGTTTATCCCCGTGCCCATGATGTGCATAAGTTTGCTGCTTTGGCTGCCATCTTTGGCAACGTGTCTTGGGTTGACATTCGAGCATGGGGTTTTTAGAGGTCGAACAGGGTCCTGGCTGTTCGCTATGTGGTGAATATTCCGGGACCAGGTAGGGCCTGCATTGGCTTGGGTCGGCGGTTGCAGCCAGTTGTCTCGACTTCGTGTTGAGGAGTGAGGACGAACTGCCTCCCGGGTAAGTCCCTGTTTTTTCCTTATCTTTGAGTGTTAGCTCTGGGGAGCCGACGGGGCTCCTCCCAGAACAACAGCATTGAATGTAATGAAACGCTATTTTTTTGGTGAGACCTGGAGGTTCCCCGGCATCCCTCCCTCCCTCTGGTCGGCGGTGTTTTTCGTGTTTTGGGTCGCTGCCGGATGGTTCTGGGGCTCCCCCTATCCCCTCCCGGGGAGGGGGGGTTGCACAGACAGGGGCGACGTGATGACGTCATGCTAGTTTGCTAATTTTCGTTTGGGGAGTTCTGTCCACCTGTTCGACTTTCGGTCCCAATACTTTTACAAGAATAGGGGTTTGTTCTGTGGCGCCTACCTTTCTGGGTGCCTGTCCCGGTCGATGGCAGATATAGAATGCTCACAACCACAGGGGGGGGGGGGGGTGGGGGGGTCTCTATAGGCCATTGCTCCTTGCGCCTCTCTGAGGAGGGCCAGATTCTGGCTCGTGGTTCCCGGTAGGCAAGAACTCCATGCATTAACTGATGCCAGATAGATATACATATCCATTCAGCCTGGATAGCTTCGGGGAGCCTCCAGGACTCGCCCAGAAAATGCTGTTTCATTACATTCAACGCTGGTGTTTTGGGTCTGAAGCCATATTGGCAAGAGCTAAGTATATTATGTTTGGCTAGATAAGAGTAAAGCTGCTTGTAGATTAGCGTTTCAAATATTTTTGACAAGGTTGGCAGAATTGATATATATCAATAGCTCACGTATCCACTCAATTTAACGGCCAATATGGGGCTGTACCCTGGTCGTTATTTCCGGAGCTCCGCTATTTCCGAAGTTAAGTCGGGTCGGGTAATTTTTCAAGTAACGCTCAGGTAGGTTATATTTTATACTGTATAACTAAAATTAAATAAAGTTCATTGTGTAATTGCGTTCCAATTTAGTGCCAAGCCGATGATTAAGCCAGCTGGTGGCTGCTGCATGGATAATGCGTGAACACGGTCTGATCAAGTCCAGATGGGTGGAAAAAAATTGGTTCATTCCTTTGTACCTGTATTGTGAAATATTTCATGTATCAATCAGTGATTGTTAATATTTTCCCAATAAAATTTTAGAGATGTGTTTTACCCTGAACAGTGTAGGTAATGTATTTTTAATGTTATGACACAGGCTGTGGCGGCCAGGCCATACAATGGCGATCGAGCCTTGTCACTGAGAGCTAGCCAAGACAAAATATTTTGAGCTCACCTTTTCTCTGCTAATATACAGATAGAATATACATTTGCAGAAATTAATATGTAGCTTTTGTTGAAAAAAAAAACAATATGTTGAAATACTATAATAAAATTGGTAAATTGACTTACTTTTAATGAAGCTGAAGATTACGAAGCTGTGAAGATTACGTCATCCTCTGCAGCGCTTGTTTTATATTGTTCAGTACTGTATACAGGGTATATACAGTATGTACACTTATTTTCAGGCATTCACTTCACACAACAGCTAGCCTTACTACTAATTCACATGAGTTCTAATTCTAATTCACAATTGAAAATTATTTCTACTGTATATTTACACTGTACAGTATCTTTTTGTCAAGGCTTAAATAATCATTAACACTTACAATACTGTACTCTATCAACACTAATTTATATGCCTTTCAATAGTATTTTATATCGTTAGTGGAGGCTACACGACTTTTGATGGGAATTCAGCATCGGCGAGTGCAGCAAGGCTTGCAGAGCATTCATTGCCGGCAGAGGCTTCATGACTTGTTGATGGGAATTCAGCATCGGCGGGTGCAGCATAGCTTGCAGAGCGTTCAGTGCCGGCGGAGGCTGCACAACTTGATGGGAATTCAGCATCGGCGGGTGCAGCATGGCTTGTAGACACACACTTGGGGATTCAAAAGGTGACACCCCTAGGGTCAACACTTGCAGCAGAGGAGCTCCAGCATATTTCAACAATCCTAAGTATTGTAGTACAGGTTGATGGTAGTGAGTGGTGTCCCAGAGAACATAAAGGTATAGTGCTCTTGAAAAATAGGTGAGATAACAGGAAAGTGCTAAGGGAAGTGAAAAATCGGATGAGAAAAAGTTGCCCTAGTGTTTACAGTGCAGAGAAGAACATTCAAGATGGCCACTGGCAAGGGGAAAAACAAAACAGAGCTTGATTTTGTGGGATTCAATGAAGAAAGCATTGATATTAGTAGTCTACATAACAAGTTGGTAAATTTAGATACTATAGTGAACTCTCATGTAGAAATAATTAGTAAATTGAAAGAAAGTAATGACCATTTGAATAGCAAAGTTTTATGTCTTGAGGGTTTAGTGAAAGACTTGCGCAAGGATAAGAATCAATTGGAAATAAATTGCAAAGCCATGGAAGAAGAAAATAAACTCTTAAAAATAGCTTTGGAAGAAGTTAAAGTAAATTTAAACATAAATGACTACAATAGGTTAGGCAAGGAAATTCAACAGGAGAAACAGCTTTTGTCAGCACAGATGGAGGAAGTTACACAGGGAATAGAACAGTGCAAGAAAGATATGCAACTCACTTATGCACAAGTGGCCAAGGAGAAGGAAAAAATAGAAGAAGCAGTAAAGGAAGTCAAACACTGCAGCAACCAAGATAAAACAAACATTAGGCTAGAAGTGAGGAAAGAATTGGCATCTAACCCGAAGTTGGTGCAAAACACAGTTGATCGGAGTAAGTCCCTGATCATTTTTGGCTGCAAAGAAAAGGCGATAACATCTAGGTCAGAAAGAGCTGTAGAAGAAGCTAAAGTAGTAGATAAAATTGTTGGCCTCGTGGAAGGTCTTACAAACAGAGAGAATGTGTGCGACTACAGGAGAATAGGCAGGTACGTAAAAGGGAAAGATCGACCTTTGAGGATCACCCTAAACGGTGCCAAACAGATGGAAGAAGTACTAAGGAATGCTAGAAAATTGCAAAGGGATGAGGATGGGAAAGGGTGGTCGTTAAGACGAGATCTTTCAAAAGAAGATAGAGAGAAGCTGAAACTGAACCTCGCCGAGGCAAAACATTTAAATGAGAG